AGAGTTCTAGAAGAGGAAAGAGTGAGTAGAAGAGAGACTTTACTACCATCGAAAATCCTGTCTCAGAAACTCAACCCGCCTTTCTAAATACCTCCTTATCTTTACCCAACCATGTCTCTAGAACCTTAGCCCTAAAGATTGAAAATCTGGTTGAATTTTCTTATATCCTTGAGGATGCTCAGATTTCTGAGAGCACCGCCCCCCTCTTAAGTCCATATAATATCTTCAAACGCCAAAGATCTACTCTTAGATCTATTAGGCAGTTGGTCAGAACCACTCGTCCACATGAAAAGGAATACGTCCAATCTTCTAAGATGGAACAATGTTCTTTAATGGCCACCTCTGAAGAACAATACGTTACTATTGAGATTCCTAGAGAACTCATCCGACACTGGAGAACTGATGGCTACACCCATCTTCACTATGGGGCCATCAGGCTGATGCTCACCCTTCACGGGAGAAGAGGACTTTCTGTCTCTTCAAGGATCTCCTTGTTAGACACCAGCTATCTTCACTATGAGAATGTCGTGATAGGTATTGTCCTGACTACACTTCATGCTGGAAGTGTCGTCCTAACATTGTTCCCCAATTACAATGTTAGTTTAAGAGACCCCACTGTACCATAAAGACTGAAAGTCCAAGTCCAGATAACCGGAGCTGCCCAGACCTCTGATGCTGTTTGTGCTACTCTCCACTATCAAATCATATATAGGCTATAGACTCATGCAGTCAACCTGACCTTACCCAGCAGCAATGATAGTGCCTTGTTTGTTCTTGCAAACCAGGCAGAAGAAAGCCCTTCGATCGTACAAGTTCCTAGAAATATTTCTAGAGAACAATTGAAGGAGCTCATTCCATTACAATGGGTGAAAAACTATGAGAATCTCCACAAGCACCATGGAAAATCTATACAGACTGACCAGGCAACTTTCAAAAGATCCACTGATGGAACGGTCAGAACAATCTTTCAACAACCTGAGAAACCCTCAAGCCCAATTTTCCAAACCATGATGTTGGAACCCTTTGTCAAAGAAAGAAGAATTCCCATCTATGCAGTACACACAGATGGAAGGGAAATCTATACTAACCGCATCAACGACCACTTTATCTGGGATGTCATAAATAAAAAGAGCCCATAGAACTTAATTCCACCGTAAACACTAGGATACCTAAATTTTTTAATTTTGTAAAAAAAAAAAAAGAAAAGTTTTACTAATATTTATTTTTAAATAGCGTAAAGCATTTAATATAATCAGCATTATGCATTAATTGGCTTTTGGTGGACCATATTTGACATTGAAATGGAATCCTAATTATTTTTGGAGCGTCAATTCTCACTTCCCCACCAATCCACCGACTAAGACTATCTATCTATATAAACCTTGCAAGGCCACTATCACAAACTCGTTATAATTAAGTTTCCCACTTGAACTATATATCCCAAACCCATATATTAATTTCCTGCATCATAATTACCTCGTACTTATGTTCTCTTCATTCACTCTCTTTTCCATTTAGTTTCTCTGCCACATACCCTTTTGCATGTTCATCCAGAGTACCCACCACACAAAGCCATGGTACAAGCAAAGAAGTTCAGGGGTGTAAGGCAACGCCAATGGGGCTCATGGGTGTCAGAAATTCGTCACCCATTACTGTAATTTCCTCATCAAACACCATAGTTTATACTTTAAGTTTTAACTAATGCAAACTACAAATTAATTTTTCTATTTTCATATTCAATCTCCCACACACATTCCAAAACCAATTCATATGTATGTATTAGTTAGTTGTGTCTTGTCTTGTTACGAAATGGAATTGCAGTGTAGATATTAACCTTAAGTTAATATTATGATATACTGTATTAAACAGTTTGGTTGATATATATAAGAATTGATATATATATTATTAGTGCATATCAATTCCCTTAATATATATATATATATATTTCTTTTTCACAAATATGTTTTCCAAAAGTAATCCTGTTCGTGATAAATTCAAATATTAAAAATCTGTTTAGATAAACATTTCGAGAATCACTTTTGTAAAGAAAAAATATATATAAAAAAATAAAATAAGTTTCTTAATAAGATAAAACTAGTTTATACATAAACTTATTTGGAAATTTTTTGGAGAAGTTATATGAAAGAGTTTCTACAAATTAATTTATACATAAGAGTTTTATCTTATGAAGAATCATATTTCATTTTTTCCTCTAAAAATGTTTCTATAGATAAATTTATCCAAATAAGATGTTTTTTGTTTTGGAAGAGATTTGAACCTTAGTTCACCATATTTTAGGAGACTAGTTAATATATATAGACCTATTTGAAATTTATAGTATCAATTCAATTTCAGTTAAACAAAGTTGATATTAACTGAGATTTGTTTTCTGATGGACAGGAAGAGAAGGGTATGGCTAGGTACATTTGAGACAGCAGAGGCTGCAGCAAGGGCATATGACCAAGCAGCCATTTTGATGAGTGGTGAAAGGGCCAAGACCAATTTCCCTCCACCAGTGAACCAGCCTCAAGGTGCTACTTCTGCTGCACCTTGTGTGGACTCTTTCTCATCTCCCAATAATGTTAATCTTTCTGAGGATCTGAGAAGAAAGCTCAAGAGGTGCTGCAAAGACCCTTCTCCATCCCTCACATGTCTCAGGCTAGATGCTGACAATTCCCACATTGGAGTGTGGCAAAAGGGTGCAGGGCCACACTCAGATTCTAACTGGATCATAAGGGTGGAGCTTGGAAAGAAGCATGAAGAGGGTGAGTCAAGTGTTTCAGCAGGGTCACCACCAAAAAGAGCTAGTAGTGATTTTGATGGTGATGAAGAGGACAGAATTGCCATGCAGATGATTGATGAGCTACTTAATTGGAATTACCCATGTGGTTCAAGTAATTAACATTATTTAGGATTAATAAAAACAGAAAGGAACTTTTCTTGTCATAGTTATTGGAATAGCATGTCCATTTTCTTCTATCTTTATCATATGCTTTTTTTGGCTTGTGTAATGATGGTTATTGACACTCTGATATATACACCTTCTTTATCTGATGTTAATCATATAACATATATGCACTATATTGGGATCATGTTAGTTATAGGGTACGTTGAAATTAGGAAACAGTCTGCAGATAAATCATGCAAATTATAGGAATATAATAAATCCTTATTCATTTTAATTTTAATTTGAATTAAGAAGGTAGTTAGAGGAAACTACAAGCCTCACAGCCCCAGCCTACAGCTACTACATATAATATAGACATGTTTTAACTTTTAACATAAATTAAAGGAAAATAAATTTCGGGAGACAAAGGTTAATTTTACAAAGTAAATTTAAAAGTAATAATTTGAAAGGAGAAAGAAAATTTACAGTGATTTTTTAAAAATTAAATATTTAAGTTTTTAAAAAATATAAAAGTATGATGAATAATTACACATCTTTAAGGAGAGAAAAAAAAAAAAAAGAAGGATTGGAGATCTATATCTAGAAATGAATATTATTTATTATAGAGGTGAATGATTCTAAATTTTCTTATTTATTGAATCATAATGATTTTCATGAGTACTATATATGAAAAATTAATTTATGGAATAATTTTTATATTTTAATACAATAAATATACATGTTCACTTAATATTTTATTACGTAATAAGCGAATAATTAAAAAATCATTTTAAAACATAACAATTTTTTTAATAATATTATGCCGAGCAAACTGTAATGTGAGAAAGGATACTTCTCATTTAGAAATTTAATTTGGTTTTATTTGTTATTAATATCATGTAAGAACCAACACCCATTAATTTTATTTGTCAAACATGGCCATTTAGTTTTGTTTTGGATTCCTATTTTAGGCCAAAAATGTTGAGGAGTTAATTATCTTAAGGAAGAAAATTAGCACATTTCTTTTAATTATTTTATTATTATTTTAAAGATTATTAAAAATGAGTGGAACTTAATTATTAAATAAGAATTAAACTTACAATTTTTTTTTAACTTTTAATAAATTTCAGCCAATAATAAATATTAAAAAAAATGCATTACATTTCTCTTGTCATAAATGTAACATGTTGATGCAAATAAATGTTTCGAAATATGGCCAAAATTTAGAAAGGCATAGTCTCACTTGTTTCGCAAGGCTAGCCAATATATATACCTTGCCATATCTCAAATTTACCACTGTTTCATTTACAATCTGTCCAGATATCACAATATTTAAAAAATACAAAATGAAAAGGATAAATTTGGATCACTAAAAATATCGATTTATGAATGAAAGAATTTTAAAACTAAATTTTGAATACCATACGTAAAACATTCTTAAAAAAAAAAAAAAAAAAAAAGATAATGCAACACTGCATTTAACACCTACATAAATGCATACCCTGAACCAAAGAGAGAATAGAAATTTGTTATAGTATCAAAGTCATGTGGTTGCCAATAAGTCAACAACACCATAAAGATAATATGGTGTAGATATGATACAAGTCGTTGCTATCAATAAATGCTTCCTCCATTATGTGGGAAAATATATTATATTGTCTCTGCAGTTGTTTTCTTTAGTACTATTGTTGAAATGGTATATGCAAAGTCACCTCAATGACCTATAAAAGACTTTGTGTTTGAACTTATTATATGCAGAAGTCAACTCTTACAATTTCTCACAGAATTAGTTTTGCACATTAATTAAGTTGGTGCCGTACGTATCTTGAAGCTTTCTCCTCTTTGTAAATAGTAATAAATCCATTTTTAGATAACATACGCATATATAGTTACATGAAAAAGGGTATCATTATATATAGAGAGACGGGTATAAATCTATTTCATATACATTCACACATAATTTAATGTTGTATTTTACAGTAATATATACATGCATTTTTTTAACAAAATATTAACATATATTATAATTATATTATAAGTAAAATAAATTTTAATAACAAATATTATGTTATTATAAAGTATGTGTCACTATGAAACAAATTTTTTAGTGTTATATATTTTTTAAATTACAAATAAGGAAATACAAATTGTAAATTGAATGATAAAAGCTAATAAATTTCCTTTCTAGGTTTATAATATTTAATATAAGATTAGTAGTTAATAATAAGCGAAATGTTTTTTTTTTTAAATATATAGAGTATCGGCATTTTGATATGTTGAAAAATATATATTTGGTTGGATCGGCATTAAAAAAATACCATTAGCGTGGATATGGTTACACTTTACAATTACACTTATGATAAGATGCACTATATATTATTGATACTAATGTTAACTTAGTCTTACATAATCTACAAAATACTTGTGATCATCATATTATCATTCCAAAATTTTTATGAAACAATATTTCTTAACAATATTGTATGTATTTGAAATAATTTTATTTTATTAAAACTATTTTGATTAAAAAAATTAGAAAAATTAAAAAAAAAAAAAAAAAAAAACTTACTTTCATAAAAAGAAAAGGTTATCAAACATTTATTCCCTATTATCAGTGTAACATTATTTACTAAATCTATGTATCATTTTATCAAAGTATTATTTATAACGATACTTTCAGTTAACATTATTTTTTTTTATGATTTTTTTAATGTGTGTCTTGAGACACACTTTAATAATTATTAAAATTCACTATCCAATATCTCTTTTAGTATATTTATTATGTGAGAAAGTAAATAATAATAAATAGTATTAATTCTGATTTTTAAAATCAATTTGATATCATTTTTAACCTTATCCTTTCATTTATTTTTTTTACTTCCAATCAAAATAACAATCAAACAGATTTTAACAAAAAAAAAAAAAAAAAAAGCAACTTTTGACTCCTTCACCACGCTCTGGCATCTCCTCTCCCGCCTCCTGCCCTCGCCTCTGCACGATGTTAGTTGTCAACCAATAGAAGCTCTGCCCAACTATATCTTCTTTTAAATATAATTATTTAAATAATAATTCTTTTAAACAATTGTTTTTGGCACATGAACTATATTTATATATGGACAATTTTTTTAATACTCCCTTATGAAACAATTATTTATAATCTTTAACATTAATAAAAAGGATAAAATGTTTTGATGTTCACATTATTATTATTATTATTATCTTTTTACTCTTTAACTAATTTTTTTAGTTACCTTTATACCTCTTAATTAAATTAATTTTTTAATTATTTAATTATTTTAAAATTAACTATACATTTTTAATCTGTTCGTTGACAAGGATGTCATGCGGAGGGGAAGGGGAGGAGGTGCGAGTAGGAATGGTAATGGGGCGAGTCGGGTACGGATTTTATGATACCGGTCCTTGTCCCGTTTCCGAGATACAAACTCATCCCCGTATCTATACCCGTACCCGCTGGGTATGTGATTTTCAATCTCATCCCGTCCCTGTCGAGTATCAGGTATATTTGTATCCATACATGTACACGTAAAAAATTATTATTATTTTTTTTGTAAAAAATAATAATAATAATAATAATATTTTTAAATTATTTTTCTATTATATTATAATTATAATTAGATTATTTCTTTATCTCATATTTTAATCAAGAGATTTCTTAATAATTATACAACTATAAATATTTCACATTATAATAAATAGTTACATATAATAAAATATTAATTTTTTTTAATATAATTAAATCGGGTATAAGTACAGGTACAGGTACGGGGCAGGTATGTATATACCCATACCCGTACTCGTACCCGATTTAATTTATCGAGTTTTACCCGTACCCGTACCCATACCCGGTCAAATTGTGTATTTTCCGTCAAAGTCGGGACGAGTTCGAGTATTACTCACGGGTACGAGTTTATTTGTCATCCCTAGGTACGAGAGGGTGGGAGGAGGGTGGTGAGAGAGTTAGAATGTTGTTTTTTTTGTTAAAATTTGTTTTATTATTGTTTTGATTGAGAGTGAAAAAAAATGAAAAAACATGGTTAAAAATGACATTAAATTAATTTTAAAAATCATAGTTAATACTATTTATTATTGTTTATTCCCTCACATTAGAAAAATCATTCTTTTTATATCTAAAGAAATCGAGTAAATTTTTAACAGTTAATGCTACAAAGCAATTGACATAAACAAAATATCAAGATCAAATATACATTATATTGGCCAACATTGTAGATGCCAAATTTTCATATTAATTAGAAGCAACTAGGCATATGTAGCATTTTAACAATAAATACAACAATGTAGTTTACATGACCAACCAAACGAGATATATATATACTATGTGTTTGCTAACTGCAATGCAAACACAAAAAATGAATGACATATAAAAAAATAAATACATTGTTTTAGTTCTTTTAGCTTATGTATAAAATCCCCATTTCATAGAAGGTTTGCATGTTGTCATTCGAAGTTTCTTATTTTTTACCTTATGCTATTAACTTGTCCCATCTAAAACAAAATGTCCTTAATAGCAGAAGCACCTAACTTTCTTCAAGTTTATTCTGATGGTTCTGTGAAACGTTTTGACCCTGAAATTGTCCCAGCTTCTATAGAACCAACCAATGGATACAAATCCAAGGATGTGATCATAGACTCATCAAAACCTATCACTGGAAGAATCTTCATTCCAAATTCTCCCACTTCCTCAAAGAAACTTCCTCTCTTAGTTTATTTCCATGGTGGTGGATTTTGCATTGGCTCCACAACATGGCTAGGTTACCACAATTTTCTTGGTGACTTCTGCGTCACATCTCAATCCATTGTTCTTTCTGTTGATTACCGTTTGGCACCAGAACATCGCCTTCCTATAGCTTATGAAGATTGTTACACTTCACTTCAATGGGTTGGTGATCAAGTTTGTTGTGAACCCTTGTTTCAACAAGTTGACCTAACTAGAGTGTTTCTCTCAGGAGACAGTGCTGGAGGTAACATTGCACACCATGTTGCTGTGAAGGCAATTCAAGACAATGGCTGTGACCCTTTGAAAATT